GCGACGAATAAAACTAGAACTACGCGCTCTCGGCGCCAACTAGCGAAAATACCGCAAGACTTTTTTGACAATCTAATATTTTAGTTCTGGTATCGTTTCACTAAGCATTAATAACTCTCGTTCAGCATTAGGTCTCAAAACGCGGACCTCTTAGCTTAATAAAAAAAAGTTTAGGAAAGATATTGTAAACAATAATAGCTGGATTCTAGACCCGACTGTCGTAGGGACGGCGTCGAAAGGCTCGCACTAGACCGTCACTACCTCATAGATATTTTTAAATATAAATATTAAGTTGTGTTTCGAAATCATAAGAGAAAATGTGGTAATTTTGTTATCAATTTCAGCAATCCTGGTTACCCGAACGGTGTCGGCGGTGCTGGTCCAGGTGGTGGCCCCACCAACAACGGTGGTGTTTCCACTATCGAGAGTGCAAAACGTGGTCATCCATTGAAGAGTTTTAGTGTACCAGGTCCACCCCCAACGGGCGCTGCGACACCCATCAATAAACACAGTAAGTAACAAGGCAATGTATAATTTTGCTCTCTTCATGCCATTGCTTTATTTGTGGGAGCGATTCCATCGTCATTAATTCTAATTTTTGTTTTACTCACCTCTGTTTCAGCACCTGCCGTAACAATACGTCCACAAAATCAATCGCCCTACAAGAAGCCCTCCTTCTCAGCTGCTACGCCCACGAACCGGTTGCAAAGCGGCTCGTCTGTGGCACACTCCAACGATGAAATACAACGATTAGCGCCCAGCACCTCAACCGAAGAGCTGAACCAAGAGATGGCCAATCTAGAGGGACTCATGAAGGACTTGAGTGCAATAACGGCGAATGAATTCGAAGTTTAACAGTAAATAGAAATAAATACAGCGCCATACGAAAGTGTCTACGGCCGAAACGTGCTTCAGATAAGAAAATTAACAAATGCGCAACCAACATAATCGGTAAAAGTATTGAACGATGAAGGAAAGGTTTTCAAAACAAACAAACAAAAAAAAAAATAAGAACGAAAACGAAAACGAAAACCAATAAAAACCTCGATAACCTTAGCGAATCAAAATGAATGCAAACAAATGAAAACATTAACATTTCTCTTTCGTTTGTTTCGTGCTAAATTTGCAATTTTTTACAGAATATGCGCTAAATGAATTTGAAAATGTTTGGCTGCTAATTCTAATTATTTGCCATTAATATTTAAAGTTTAAGAGCTAGTGCATTCGTATAAATATATTTAATTCCGATCTTTTCGTGTTAGAAAAGTAATATTGGATTTTTGTACAAGCATTAAGGGACGTAATGATAAACGATTAAGATTTAATTGATTTCTAAATTTAAGTGCCACTTAAATAAGTTTCAAAAATGTGTTTTAAGAGTGCTCCTGATTTTGTTTTTATTTTTATTTCTATGAAAAAACCGTGACATGTACATAACCATTATACTTATGTAAGAGTATTGTCATATATGTATGTATATGTATTTATCGACATTTTACCGAATAAGCAAATGAATGAAAGATTAAAGTTTTTGAGTAAAGATAATAGGAATTATACCAGAGCCACGGCTATATTAATAAGGAAACTGAAATCGGAAACGGTAACGATAATGAAGCTGAAACAATTGAATTAAAATTAAAATAATTTAAATATTGAAAATTGTTGAACCGCAGGAGCCACAACAAAACAAATCTGATTAGAAACCTTCAAATGTTAACATGTATGAAAGCTTACATACTACTTTCTATGTATATATTAATATATATACCAAGGAATACTATGCTGCCGTAAAGTATGAGCTATCCCGCGTTAGTTCAAGCTCCATTTCCGATTTGCATTTAATTTTTTGCGCTATAACTTTCGCTTTGAAAAGTTGTTTGAAAGTATTGGCTCCAATAGTTTTTGCTGGTTTTGAATTCAAGTTCTTACAGTGCCATAGAATTCGGCCTTAATAACATTATGGCGAAAGACCGCAATAATCAATCTCTGAAAGCTATAGCGCAAATCTTCATTGCATTTGATGTTACAACAACATAAGTGGGTACTACATATACTATGTATTGTTATATAGACGTGTTAAACTATTGAAAGTACATGTAACTATCTCAGACTTTGTGTATATGTATTTGCACTTTATATTTAAATATGCACAACTGAAATTACTTGCCGCTATATGCATATACTTGCTATCAAAATCTTCTTAAAAGTAAAAACTACTCTAGATTTAAAGTTACTAACGTGCATTTATATCAAAATATCGTGTTCTTGTAAACCAAAGTTTTACTACAAAAAATTTTACACAACTGGATGTTTAGTTTTTATTTTTATTATTAAACTCCTCCCCTTAGTGTAATTTACTTTTTTTGCTTTTACGTCATCCAAACTTAGTCTATCGTTTTAGTTTTCTTTCATTTCCATACAGAAAGTGTCATTTCACTGTGTTCAAATATAATTTCACGAAACTCTTTACCCCTAAGCTATTTTTCCAAAACATAAATTAAATTTTGGAAACTACTATAAAATGCCTACAAATCTACTACTTACAGCAATACAACGGGCGGAGTGTTTACAAAACCTCAATCGAGAAAAATTTTAATTATTTATATTATTTAGATATATACATATGTATATAATTATGCAGAATGCTATGAAAATTGTGTATTTTAGATCCTTTACATAAGGTTTTATTATTTACGATCAAAGGTCATACAAAGTCACATACTTTTTATGCAGTTAAAAAGCCTTATGTTGAGCTGAACAAATTTCGCGGTTTTTTGAATTTAACAAGTGCATAGATGATTGCACTAAATATTGCTAAAAGTTACGCATGTATATCATTTGTAAAAATAATACATACATACACACATATATAGTACACGAAACTCAGCTAACGTATAATTTGTACTGGAAAATAAAACCAACGCATTTACACGATTGAAAATGTTATTGGAAAGAGCAGTTATTGTGCAAACAACAAATGGGAAATGATCTAACCAGAAGCGAAATGTTGAAGGTCCTATTAAGTTAAAATTTTAAATTTAATTAAATGAAAAAAGAAAGAAACATTTGCCATACCCGCTCGAATACAAATTAAGTTCCATACATCTCTACTAACCCTGCCCTTTTTAGAAGCACTACACACGCACATACATACATACTTACATATTTCTCTACTTCGACTCATATAATTATCTATAAACAGATATATTTACGTATTACTTCGTGTTAAGCGTAATCATAGGAATAGGTGGAATTAGCAGAATGGTGAATTGCAAACAAAACGAAGACTTTTGTTACTTTTATTATTCAAAGAGAAGTTCTTATAAGTATATACATGTAACATGTATGCCAGGATTTTTATTACAAAATGCATTTTTGTATAATAAAAGTGAACGTTTCGATTAAGCACACATATAAAATGAAGAAATATTACCTTCTTAAGCATAATTAGTTATAATAACTTTAAATAATAATAATATTAATATTATACTTATACAAAGTAAATGCAAGCAAAGAAATTGTGAATTAAATGTGAAAGAAAGTACGATAAATTACAATGTATAATAAATATAATTTATACAATTCAAATTTTAATAGTTTTCATATTTATTAGGTATACAATAACAAAAAGTTCATAGAACGAAAATAAAGAGACGACACTCTCCTCGCCATCAGTTTTGAACTTGATCACGCACGATTATTCTAAAAACATTAATTTCGCTTATACCTAAGCCTTCACGGATAAAAAATAATATAACACCTTTCACAATGTTAGTATAAAACTTGATTTTGTTCGATTAGTTTGTATATGCTATAACAGCCCGATCTGAAAAATGTGTTAGGAGATTGCCCAATCCATGCCCAATTTTGCGAAGAACAAAACGACAAGTGGATTTTTATCGATCCGAAATCAGCTGTTCCGGCAAATGAGCAGCTTTTTAGAGGAAAAAATCCGTGTGCAAAATTTCAAAGCGATATTCAAAAACTGAACTGAACTTCATCACCCTGATCATTTATACAGCTATGGTGAAAATAATAGTAGTGTCACTGTGGCATATAGTTTAGTGTTTATAATTTCTTATGTTACTTTATTTGTTTGACATTCTCCTTAAAATAATGTTATGTAAATTATGTCCAAGAACAAAAGTACCACTATAGCTATATACATAGCTTAGCACTTGCTATTGAAGTTACGTTTTTTTACATAAGTGTGAGCTGTTACGGCAATAAGCCTTAATAAGGATATTAAAAGTTCACTTGGTTGTTCACCGACGCTGATTCGAACTGCCTCATAATAAATATCGAATTCTGAAACACGAAACATCTGAAAATAACTGACAGAGAGGCTTAAGCACCTAGTAATATTATCAAAACAGAATATTTTGCACCTGCAACAAAAATTTAGATTGAAGTGGAGCTGTATACAAGTGTAGACACAATTCGTAAACATTGTTAAAACAAAAGAAAAAAAAAAAAAAAAAAAAAAAAAAAAAAAAAAAAAAAAAAAAAACAAAAAAAAAAAAAAACAAAAAAAAAAAAAAACAATGGCTCAGCGGCTGATGTTTGAAAATGAGCACTTCGATTGGCCCCTAGCGAAATGAAAGACATTTTATGGTCAGATGAATCTATAATCATACTATACGGTGCAAGGGGGTCTCGTCAATACGAGATCATCAACTCGGAGTACAATCAACTACACCGCCAAAATAGTTACACATGGGAAGTTCAGTATCATTTTCCAATATATATGTAGGAAGTAATATTACTCATGCCCGCGAAGAAATACCTAATAAATACTTTAGGTCAAAGACCCAAAACTTATAAGCAATTTGGCTCAGCAGAGGTTTCAGAAAAAACCGAGTTAAGGTCGTGCAGTGGCCAGCATAGTCTCCAAACCTCAGCCCTATAGGAACTTTGTGGTTTGACGTAAATAAATGAAAATCAATACCAAAAGCACGATGTGAAAAACTATAACTAACTCATATACTTACATTGGAACAAGAAGCACCCGGAAATTTTAAATTAATTTCGCGGGTAAATGATATTTCAAAAAAATGTATTTTGCTAAGTTGGTAGGACTGTCTTCAATTAATACGAGTGGCACCAATCCTTCAAAGGCCGTCGGGAGATCGTTGAAGACATGTTTCGTGCTGGACGATCTTCGTCCTCTTCAACTGATAAAAATATTAAATAAGGAGAGCATTAAAATTGCCGATGAGACATGGACTTATGAGTTGCAAATTCAAAATTGGATTTGATCGATGAAGAACTAAAACAAAATTCGCTGAAGAAGCTGAAGGCCCATCCCAAACAGTGCTTCTGAAAAGTATTTTGAGGACTGGAAAAATCGTTTGCAAATGAAGGCGACAAAATAAATGCTGATGAATAATTAAATATTTTGGGTTTTATTTACAATTTCCGAGTACCTTTTTGGCACAGTGTATGTACTGATGTCTGGAGAGCACCTTCATTTTAGCATATAATTGTATTTATAATTGCATTCTGTGCTCATAGAAAGCAAAAAAAAAAAGCGCTGAACAGTCCTCGTTTTTTAACCAAAAACAATACAAGAGAGAGATATTTTTTCCGCTTCTAAGTTATCTATCCGTTTGAGTTCAAGTTGACGGTTATTTTGTTTCACATCCCACATTACGGCGTGGTGGGGAACACGAATTCGGCAGCTCAACAAAGCACTGCACAATCCACCGTCGATAAAAGTCGTTAAAGTGGCTTTACGATAAAAGCTCTTTTCGAATCACGTAAAAAAGCTACGCCTTCATTAAGCCAATTACGGCCAGCATAAAAATTGTCAAAGAAATTCAAATCAGTTGACGAGAGACGTTCGAAAAGTGCAGTTGGCATCGGTTTTGGCACAGCGGAGCAACGGAAGGGAACTGCGAGTCGGTACTGGAGACATTGGTCGTGCTGAAAAAGTGAAACATAAAAATTACCATTTGCGATCGGAAAGTGTTGTAATGTGAATTAAATTGGTGTGTGTTGGTAGTGGT